ACCTGAACAAACTTTTGTGTGCGGCAAAAGACACCATCCTTGTAACGTTTGTGTGTGCACTTAGCAGCCTAAATCTGACAGCTGTTCCCGAGGCAGCGGGTGGGTTTACTGCACTGTACTGTCAGTATAGCTTTCCCGAGCCAAACTAGAGGGACATGGGTGGGGGGGGGGGTAACTCTACATGGGGAAAGCTCCCCTCCTGGTGTGATCCTGGGGGGGAGAATCGCGGAGCGTTCTGTGCTTTTCTGGCTAACTTGGGTAACTTTCGCAGGCTCACCCGTTCTCCAAAGTGCCTGTTGACATGAGGGTGAGATTCCTCTGTCATGGGGGGGAAGAAAAGGGGAACAAAAAGTTCGTGTGGGAAAATAGAGAGCGGTTTAAAATAGGTCGGGTCCCCGATCTCCTTTCCATTTCTCTCTAGGAGCCAATTCTCCCAGGTCAGCTGGTGCTTGTGTTTTAATGCGATTTGCATTTGCTAAAAACTTTTTGAACATTCAATTTCATGCTTGGCTACACCGGTAAATACAGTGCCACGTCACCCGCCTGCCGCCCGGCTGTAATGAACAAGCAGAGAGATGCTTATTTAAAATCACGTTTCCAGCGAAAGGCATTACCCGGGTGCTATCAGCAGCCTCCACCTGAAATAGTTTTGCAAGACGGAGCGTATCTGAATTGCATTGTCCTCCGCTCATGCACGGCGGGACACTTATGCGCCGAGCTTTGTACGGGGCTTCCTAAGGAGATTTTGATCCCTTTTTCTTTAACCGTTACTTTGCCGATCGCTGGGGTTGGAGTTGCGCTAAACGCGCACGAACAGACACACACCCCAAGTACAACTGAGCAAAGATCAAACTCGCTCTTACTGCCTCCAGATTGCATCCAGTCCCGGGCTACTGACTCAGGCAATGAATTCAGGGACTCGGGCTTCACCCTGTTGAAGTCAATGGTAAAGCGCCCCTGGACTTCAGTGGGGCAGGATCAGTCCCTAAATTACTAATGTCCCGTATCCCGTAACAGGATCTGCTGGAACAATGGGGCCAGCGGGTCCCGGTGCAGGATTCTGGTCTGGATTATTTCCTTCCACCCCGACCCGCCAGTCTGTCAAGACACATTTAAAGTTCGGCTTAACATTAATGGACTTGATACAGGTGTGTGTGTGAGAGAGAGAGAGAGATACAAAACACGCACGTGTATTGGGATACCTATGCGCACAGATTAGTTTCTTTCTGCGTGTGTATTTAGCCAGAGATGAGGGGCTGCTTAAATGTTTTGATCTCTGTTTAATAGCCCTGGGTGGCAGTTTCCCGCAGTCCTGGATTTGTTTTGGCTGGAGGGGGGTGGTTTTGTTTGGGGGTTTTTTTCCACGTGAAGACAGGCGAACGCCCGACGTTGTACCTGACACATAGAGGCCGCCTCGAAAGCACCTGTGCAAAAAAGTCCCGCACAATGACGCGGCGCGAACAATCCTTCACCTGCCCCGGTGTCATCGCCAGGAGAGGCGAGCGACAGGACGTTCTGTCCGATTAAACAATAACCTGATGGGCTCACTCCCGTTCTTCTCCTCGATCAGTGGGACTCCCCGTGGGAGTAAAGACCTACATTAGGTCTGGTCTGGATGCATTCCTAATTGACATCTGTGCCCGGCCGTTTGTGAACTAAACTCTGCTGACCACTGTCCGTTCCTGCGCAGGGCTAGACTGTGTCAGGTCCGGAATGCTGCGGGGTGAAACCCTATTTTCAATCGCTTTTCTATCCCAAGGCTCGGCGAACCTGGGAGCTGCGCTACCGGGGTCTTTAGAGGGGTTAAATGAAAGTGGGAAGTAGTCAGAAAAGACCCTTGAAGCCAAAGCCAGGAGTTAGGACGTTTCTTGGTTCCGTTTTAACTCCAGAAGCGGTGACAACTGTGGGAATAATGTACTCCTGCTTTCCCCTCCAAGTCTGGCCATAGACAATTATTGGAAGCAGGATCGGGCCCCGTATTTCCCAAGAAAACTCCCCAGCAAATCCACCCCTGGCAAAGAGAATTTGTTGGCTGGGAGGAAACAGCGCAACTGTCTTTGAAACTCATTCCCGTAAAAAAGAAAGTTTATCCGAAAGAAAAGAGAAGTGAATCCTAAGGAACCCTTCCCCTATGTTCTGTCACAGGTCCCTGCTTTTTGTATTGCGTGAAATAATGACTGAGGGATAAAAACTACTCAATCCCAACTGGCTTTATTCATCACGCGGCGCTGATTATTGTTATTATCGATCATAAGGGAAATAATTCTGGCCATCGCGATGTATTCCTCGCAAGAGAAAAGTGGGAGGAGGACCTACTTTCGGATATGCTAGCAATGCATTTCTTTGATTAATGGATAGAAAATCTATCCATCTAAGCTATTAATACTATGGTTTAACTCCCTTCTATATAAAACTAGACTGTAGCCCACATGTCCTCACTCGGATTTAGCTACTTTCTAGATTTCCACCGGTAAAAGTATCAGTTTCTGTCCCGGGGAAAAGGTTTCCTCTTCCTCGGGTGACTGTTTCTATTTCTGGCACTCATCCCACTAGCGATCTGGGGGCTCATTTTTAACACAAAGCTCCTGTCTGATTTCAGGGGTGTCTCTCTCTCTTGCAAAAACTGAGGGCACCCTTATGTCCTCCTCGCTGCTTCCATTCCTCCCGGGATTTTCCCCGCGTGCCCGTCTCTCCCCAAAGCGCGTAAAGCAGAAAATGTTGCCCTCAACTTTCATGCGAATGTCCCCGCTCCATTGTCGATCCTTGCAGTTACGCAGGTGTTGGGGACTTACGATGCGGGATCGTCAGTAAGAAGTCACCGTCTATAAACTATCATCCTTGGGCAAAATGTCAAGCTGGTTCTCTGCGTTTGGGGGGCAGCTGATTAGTAGGGTGGAGAAGGACATCCAGGGCAAAGCATCTAAACCTCCCGAATTTAGCATCGCTCTGCAAAACAGCTGTAGGGACACTGGAGGGGGTCCTAAAAGCAAAAGCCACCGCAACTTCTATTTCCTCCGCTGTTCACTTCTCTTTCCAAGAACCCGTTTGTGCCGGTCCCCCACCCCTCTCCCTCATCGGATCTGCTACTTTGTTCTTGGTCCCTTTTACATGTATTTCAGCAAGCAAACGAGACCCAGGTGCATGCAGGCTGAAAGTGAGCGAGGCCGCGATTCAATGGGGTGGAGAGGGGGACAAGGGCAGGTTACTTTTCGTTGTTGACAAAGGAAGGGCAGAATCTAAACACCGCTCCAGACAATCAATGGACCCTTGTCTCCGGTTACAGAGCCGAGCTCTCTAAATGAGTCTGGCATGCTGATAACGGCAGGTTAGGCACCTGAGATAAACTCCGTCCAATGGCTTGATGGCGCAGGAGATAGAAAAGGATCTGGGGCTGTGGAGAGGCGCTTTGATTTGCCTATAAAAGAAAAAAGATCGGTGCACGATCTAATTGACAGGAGCGCAGTTGTCATTGTATCCCGGTGCTTATTTGCGGG